AAAAAAAGAAGTTAACCAAAGTTAAAAGAAATATATAGTGCTTAACCCAAAGGAATTGATTTTTACTGGTGAAATTTCACATTTTATGACAGTTGAGCCAAGAACTATTTTTGGGCAAATGAGTTCTGGCATTCACTGACTTTTACTCTACAATTATGTCCAGGCCAAATTATGGATGGTAATTCTGCACAACTCTTTTTTTCCAGGAATACTCCTATATGTTAAAAATACTTGAGAAAACAAATAATTTCATGAATAAAAAACAAGATACAAACTTGAAATTCTACAATTAGTAATAGTATATAGTCTTTCTCCACTATTGCTAAAAGTTTCATGTCTCATATGTAATTAAACTTTATGAAGTGGTGACTAGAACAGGGTTAAAATCTGGTCACGAGGAAATAAGAGATCCCAGTTCCTAGGAGAGAAGGTCCATGGTGGTCCCAGTGAGGGGAGGTGAGCCAGGCCGACCACAAAGGAAATCATGCTTTTCTATGAACGCTTTGGGTAGTGGGTTGGGAGAAAAAGGTTTTACCTAGGGTATAAAGCAGATCTGAGTACACCTAAAGTTTTCCAATGTATTCCTGAGGGACCAGATTTTACTTTAGTTCATTATCGTATTAACTCATTAAGTCATATTAGTTCATTTGTTTGTAAGTATTTATGAAGTACCTACTTTACAATAGGCATCTGCTTGGATTTTTGGAGGAGATGGGGATATGAAGGTGAGTAAAAATGTTAATGTCTTGGAAAATCTAGGACACAGTAGGAGTAGATAGGAAATATATATTCAAAACAATTGTAACACCTAGATGACTAAGACCTCTATTAAAAGTATGGATTAAGTACTATGAAAAAAATAGAAAAGGATATAAAAAAGAACTGGTAGAAGCTAGTTAAAGCTTCATTATAGGAGTAATGTTTGGGCTGGACATTAGGGAATAACAAAAGTGTGGCCATGTACTAAAAGGTAGGGATATGTTCTTACAAGGAATAACATGTACAAAGATGTGTGGTAAGGATCGTAGGAGAAAACGATACTAGAACAAAGGGAGAAGGGCAGGGATGGCCTCATATGTCATGTTAAAGAAGAAAATAATATGATCCAGATTTTGTGCTAGAAAGATTAACTCTGCTGGTAGTGAAGAGGATAAACCTGAGAGAACTAATTGTGGCCAAACTAGCTTTATGGCTGTTATGACAGACTAGATGAGGAATAATCAGGATCAGAGGAAATGCAATAAATTACTGAGAATGGGTGTAGGGAATCAGGAGATGTTTAGGCAACAGACAACAGAATTTGGTGCCAAAGTAAACGTGAAAGGTGAAAAGGAGAAAGGCAACAGGGACAGAGTTAAAATTATTGAAGTTCATGAACTGAATTAAGACAGAAAATACAGGGGAATGAGGAAGACTTTACTTTCAAGAGAGGGAAATGTAAAGAATTTGGGAACATGACACTGGATCTCAGAGGAGAGATGAGTACTCAAAGATTTGGAAGTTATTTGGGCAATAGTGATTAAAGCCTATGAAAATGGATGACATTTCCTGGACATTATGTAGAGGCAATCTTTACAGCAATCATTATTCAGGGATAGTCAGCAGCCATAATACCTGAAAGAAATGGAATAGAAATAAAGAAGTAGTACAAGGAAAAGAATCTCAGAAAAAGCATTAAGAAGGAGTGATGGGGGCTGGGGATTTAGCTCAGTGGTTCTGCCACCTGTCTCGCAAGCTCAAGGACCTGAGTTCAATCCCCAGCACCAAAAAAAAAAAAAAAACAAGAAGGAATGGTGAAGAGTATTAAATGATAGAATACATATAAAAGTTGACTGCATTTGTCACTGGTGCACTTACTAACCTTAGTAGTGATCATATGGTTATGTCTTAGCATCTTTATAATTCCCAGACCTCTGAATATAAGCTTTCCATCTCCCTCCCTGTTTCCAAAACAACATTCATAAAGTACATTCATAGGTAAAGTGTATCGTATAAATTTTTAGGACATGTTTCCTATGCTCAAAGGAGGAAAGGCATATAAATGAAACAAATATATATCAACATATAAATAATATAGCACAATAACTATCTTTGGGTATGGCAACAGGCTACAAGGTTCAACAAAGTGAACATGCTACTGACTGGAAAACCTTCTCATATGCATGTTTTTAAAAAAGCAAAATATACAGATACACACAAAAAGAATGCTTTTACTTTCTAGGAAAATTGAGAAGACTGTAGAGAAAATGCAATTGAACTGTTCTTGCTATACTAATGAATACAATGATACTAATAATACAGTTTACACAAAGCTTATAATAGTAACTGACACTGCACTAGGCATTTACCTGTTATTAAATTTATTCTTCACAAGAACACTGTCTCTGAAGTCAGTACTACTGTCTCAGCTTATCTGAGGGACTTTTCCTCATACAAGGTAAGTAACTTGCTCCAAATCTCACAGGAAATAAGGAGGGAAGCAGGCATTCAAACCAGGACTTTCTTACTTGATTACACAGCCCGTTTTCTGTCCTCTATGCTGCACTGACTCTCATAGGAGAGGGGGCAAAAGGCTCCAAGCAGAGGGCTGGATGTATGCAAAGGCATTAGTCTTGAAAAGGCAGAGTCCTTTTGAAGAATGAGGTGGTGCAATGTGGAGAGAGATGACAAGAGGATATGTAACATACATTTTTCTTTTGCATGTATTATTTCATCTTATTCTCATAAAACATCATGAGGCAAGAGCATCTTTGTTCACATTAGCACGAGGTTTTAAAATAAAATGTCCAAGTTTACACCTACTCATTGTGAATCCAAAGCTTGAGCTTTTAAACCATTATGCTATATTGCTAAAGACATGGAAGCATGTTTCTTCATTTTTACCATGATCATATATAAGTTGTAAAACAAAAATGTGGTTAAAAATGGACCACTGATATAGCAGTTAGAAATTACTGGCGATTTTGGAAAGAACAATTTCAGCATAAGAACCAGCTATAGTAAAATAAGTAGCAGAAGAATGAATGGGAATTGAAAAATTAGTGATGGTGACTAAAAATTAGTTATTCAAGAAATTTGGCTGCAAAAGGGAAGAGGTAAGTCAGATCTCTTTAGTTTTAATTTTAAAATGCTTGGAATACTGATATATTTTCAAAGACTTTCCAACATGTTCATTAATAGCAGTAATTTCGGATTGTAGAGAGAAAATTAATATCATCTTACAAATTAATATCATCTTATTAGTTGGTTTCTTTTCAGAGGATAATCTTCATCTTAAACCAAATAAAACAGACTGATGGCCCCCTTCACTGTAATGAAGATACACTATGCCTAAATGATGGCAATTCAAAATGAAATATAATGAATTCAACTTTAAAAGGAACCTGCTCATATTTCATCTAGGCTTGTTGGAAATCATAATAAAAGATTTAACATTTTAATTTAACACTTAACTCTTGTAAATAACATAGCTGTTGTATTAAATCTGATTAACAGATCGGAGACATTCCATTAAAAAGTTTTCATCTGTCTAGGATTAAATGTGCAAAATAAGGATGATATACATACACAAAGTTTGTTAAAATACTCAATTTAAAGCATTATCTGAGGTGATGTTCATTCTACTTTTTGGTATACAAAAGTTCTTTGTTTTTACAAAATGATAGTGATAGTTGATGAGATATAAAATTAAAAAAATAAAAAGCTGACAATATTTCTATTTTTGGAAAACCAAATTGGCATCTGGGAGCTACTGTTTTAAAGAATTTTAGTCACATGTAGAAATTAAAGGATTACATATAAATAAAACTTTGTAATTACTTATAGACTTTGAGCAAATAGAGCTAAATCAGGTCCTGACTGTCAAGGGTTACTGATTGTGATTTACAATGAAATGCAATACATTTATGTACATCATGGCTCTTAGACTGTTAATGTACATTGTGAATAACTACATAGTTTAGGACTGAATATTAACCTAATCATTAAACCTAAAAATGTATAATATTTATATAGGGCAAGAGTTTAAATGTACATTGGTAGTAGATATTAATATACATAATCTGTAAACTGTTTTAAAATGGTTTTGACTACAGTTTCACCCGACTTTGGGCTATTAATTGAAATATAATTTCAAAGATGTTGTGGAAGTTGTGATTTATTTTCAAATGAGAAGCAGGAGGAAGTAAGAAACATTGAAGTGAGCACTGCTTCATACTATAAAAGTAGAAAAAAAGATTATGGAAAAAGGTATGTACTAAAAATTTAAGGTGATTTTGTGAATTCTGTAGTGCTGTTAACAATATATAAAGAAGGTCAGAGTGACAAGTTCTATTATATTAAAATTTCCTCAGAAAATTCCACTACAGTGTTCAAGTTCCATCAATTAACAAGTGACACCTTCACCTGGTAAATTGTTAACATTCTGCTAGCTGGCATAAAGAATGACTGATTATGCAGCTCTATTTAAATTTTAATAAAAATGAAAAGATCATTCAAAATAAACAAATATAATTATGCATTTCAAAAAGCTGTACTGAATACTTCAGAAGAGCAACACATGAAAATTAATTTCACTGTACTGAATTCTATGGATTTAGAGGTCTCAGATTGCAAGGTCATAGTTGATTCCAGCTGGATTATCATGAACCTAAATGAGTACAGGTGGTAACTTGACTGCCTCTTCTTTTTGCAAATAACTTTGCCTATTAATATGAGTGAGTGGAAGGATTTAAATAGTATGGGCTCCATAAACTGATGAAGATCTGTTATTAAATAAAAAGCCTGTCCTAAATAGTAATAATTATTCCCAAGAAAATGATTTTTGACCCCAAACATGGATTATGATTTGTAATCTAAAAAAGCTCATTTGGTTTAATCTACCTTTGTCTTAAACCATTAACAGTACAAATGATACTACATACATAATGTTTAGTTCTCAAAAGAAGAGGGTTTGTGTTTTGTTTTGTGTTTTAAAAATAATCCAAGATCATTTTACTTACTTCTGAACTTTTTCATTGGCCACCTGGGAGGTTTCCACTGCATGCTGAAGCTGTAATTCCATGTTTGCTCGCTCTGTCAGAGCTTGCTGCAGTTGGGTAGCCAGTTCCTCATTTTGTTGTTGAGTGATGGAAACAATGTTCTCTCTGTTTTTCAAAGCTTCTTCATAGGTACTAAGGGTATGGTTAAACTGATCCTTTAGGTTTTCTTCTTGAGATAAAGATTTGTGTAAACTGAGAAAAATATCAAAATAATTTAAATATAAATAAGGTAGGCTGACCAATCAATGATTCATTTAATACAAATCTCCATTTAGAAATTTCCACTTCTAAAAATCAATACAGATACTTAATGGGTAAATGAAAATAGTATTTATATCAATATTATAATTGATAATTATTCCATAACTTGGCTTGTAGGTTTAAAGCTCTCCAGACAAATGATTATCTATGCTACCAAAGCACACAGAAAGATACTGCAAGATGTAAATTTAATTATATCAATGTAAATATTACATTCAATTTTCTTTAAAGGAATAGCAGAGAATTGGAAAATAGAGTATCTCTAGGTAAATGAAACAATATAATAAGCCAACTGCAAAGAAGTGGGAAGTGAGAGAATGGGCATCAGTTTAGGAGATCTAGGGTCTATTCTGCTAAGCACTTAATGAGAATGAATGAGGTTTGTGCAAATACCAACCGACTGGTCAGTATTTTCACACAGAATTTTCTACTTGTCACAGTTGGGATAGTATAATGAAGTTAAAACCACTAGTCAGATTGCACAGAAATAATATGTATTCAGATATATATTTTATGGTTAATGAATCTTATGCCAAATACATCCACTTATTAAGTCATACAGAGAAATAGCATATAAATTAAGACTAAATGAATGCAGAAGAAAATGCAGATAAATAGAATCCTAAAATGCTAAAGGTCAAATCTTTGATATGTCATTACACCTACCACCTGAGGTTATTTCAAAATGGCTCCAAGCACCTCACTCAATTAAATAAAGACATTTTGAAAATATAAATATTTAATAAGGGAAATTTAAAATCCACATAGGAGATGTTCTTTTTTATTAAATAAAATCATTTCAGTATATGCATACAAAGGAAATGGGGTTTGGAGACTTGAAGTACAACAACCTACATATAATACAGATTAATCATGTGAAAGAAAGCAATATAATTCTTAAAGATGCAAAAAGCTAGTCAGAGAACTTTAGATGGGCCTTATATCTGGTCTGTTACTTTATTTAAAACTGTTCAAGTTATAATTATTTATTTTAAGGTTACCTATTAGCCTTTACAGTGTTTTCACTTTGGAGTAGGTGTCACATAGAAATAAAATGCACATGAAAAAAGGAGAGGTGATAAATCAAACAAAATCATTTGAAAATTCAATTTATTCCCTAAGCAAAGAGACTGTTGCTGAACTCTGGTGAGTTGTTTACTATATATAAAATTAGAGTGATGTGCAGATGGACAGGTGATTGGACCCTTTGCTCTTAAAAAGCTACTCATTGTTCAAAATGCTTTGGGATCCTTTTAATTTCCATCAGATGTTCTCAAACAGGAACAGTAGCTGAAGTGAACTTTTCAAAAAGAAAGTAGATAATGTTACTTAAAATCCTGCAATAGCATTTCATTGCACTAAAAAATCTCTAAAAATAAAAATGACATATTTTAACTCACTAAACCTGAGAACAACCTGTTTGAGAAGTTCTATTAATATTTCTTTTCTTATTGATGAAGAAGTTGAGACAGAGAGGTAAGAAATGTAATCAACCACATGGCTCCAGCAGAGCCAGAACAGTCTTCCTCCCCTAGTTTGGTCACTCCTATATACTTGCCCTGGAAGACAGAGCCCTGCATTATCTGGCCTTTCCACCCACTCACTTGTCAGCCAGTTATCAGTTTCTCAAGTACATCAGCCTTTTTGCCTGGTTAAGGAATTTGTTTGGATTGCTGTTTCATCTGATTTGATCTGACAAACTCCTAGTCATCCAGTAAGACACAGCAAAAGTACCACTTTCTCAGAAAACTTTTGTGTCTCTTCAGATCTAAATTTTTTTTGGTATATCCTTTTATTGGTACATTTTAGGTGTACAATATAATGACATTCATCATTGGAGATATGCAACTTTACATAATCTCTCTTGGTTCTTATTTTTTCCCCCTTCCCCTGCCCTCCCTTCAACCCTTCCATCCCTATTTACAAAGACTTTGCTTTTTTTCATTTTCTCATATAAATTCCATTCCCTTCTTTCCTTTCCCCTACCCCTCCCACTTCCCCTTCCCCTTTGCCCCTTTTCTTCCTATTTCACATTATCTATTTTACCTTTTAGTCCTTATTTACACTTTCAGTTTCTCACACTAGAGAAACTATTAGGTATTTACACATGTGTGTCCTATTTATTTCACTTAAGAGTATTGCCTCAATGTGCATCCATTTAGCAATAAATGTCTCTAATTTCTCATTTTTTATGGCTGAGTAGTACTCCATTTTATAAAAAACCACATTTTCTTTATCCAGTCTCCAGCTGATGGGCAATCGGGCTGCTTCCAAGTTTTAGCTATTACAAACTGTGCTGCTATGAACATGGGCACACATATATCACTGTGGTATGATTCTTTTAATTCTTTGGGGAAGATACCCAGGAGGGAAATAGCTGGGTCAAATGGGACTTCCAGTCCCAGTTCTTTGCCGTATCTCCATACTGATATCCACAGTGGTTGCACCAGTCTACACTCCTAATTTTGATGCTTTCTCTTTGTTAGTATCTCTTACTCTTTCCTCCTTAGAATTTACAATGATTTAGTTCCCACTCACAATATGTTAATACTACATTTATATCAATCAATTTTTTTTTTTTTTGGTACCGGGGATTGAACTTGGGTCCTTGTGCTTGTGCAGCAGGTGGTGAAACCACTGAGCTAAATCCCTGGCCCTATATCAATCAATTTTATTTTATGAGAAGCACATATTCCTCTAGAGTTTGAATAGACAAAAATATTCACAACTCTTAGGAAAGTTTTCTAAAGGAAAAAAGGTGAAGGAGAGTATGTTCCCAGTATATATAAATCTATAACCATGGAAGGCCATTTTTTGGATTTAGTGCTGTTTTCACTCTGAGAATGCTCTTTCTTCCCTAGATGACACCTAAGGCCCAATGTTTAGCTTTCTTCAGGGAATCATCACATTTAGCCTCTTTCCAATGTGACTTATCTTCAGATACATTTTCTGGCATATCAGCAGGATTATAACTGAAGGGTATTTAAATTATATGGGAATATGTTTTAAGTTAAAATAAAATAGCAGAAGAATCACTGAATCACTCTTAGAAATTCAAACATAAGTAATAGTGTGGCTCACACAATATTTACCTAGGATGATAACAATTTCTAATTACTATGAAGGTAATATAATATTTCTAGTTATATTTCATATTATTATATTTATAATTCACATCAAATAAGACTAGACATTATCTCTTATACTACATTGCTCATCACATTAATTTCAATAAAAGGTCAGTGTAGAAAAACGCCCTTCAATGGGCACTACTGTACTCCAATAAATACCATGTAATACATTTTTTTTTCTGCACTGGGGATTGAACCGAGGGCCTTAACACTGAGTTACATTCCCATCCTTTTTCATTTTCTAATATTGAGACAGGCCTTTGCTAAATTCCCAAGTTCCCCAGGTTGGGCTTGAACTTGTGATCCTCTTGCCCCAGCCTCTTACAGTGCTTGTATTACAGGCACTGTGCCATAATGCCTGACTAAAATTTCCTTTCTGTAATCGTTTTTGTTTTAGTTTCAATATCTCCTAGTCTACTTTCTCATGTCTTTGGACCTATCTTCCTAGTCCCTGACTCCTTGTACTTCTTCAGCTTGGAACCTATCAGGCTTATTACTCACTTATATTTATATATTTTACTTGAAGATATTTATGATCTTTTCAATTTATCTGCTTACTTGTCTCCTCAGCTTGTCTGTGGAACTCTCTCTCTCCCAATTGTAATGTCATGCATGGACTAAGCTTAGTCTTCCAACTAGTACTTTTCCATTTGTCAAGTTTTGATGCTACTTTGCCTGATTTTCTCTTTTGTCTTCATGATCAGGTATTACTCAATGCCTTACATTAGATCATTTGACTCATCATCCTATATATGCACTTACTCTTCTCTATATGTTTCATATATTTTATAGTTGCTTAATCATTTGTGTTCTATATAAGTTGCTTAATTGAATGAATTCATTTAATATTACAATTTAGAAGCAAGGTACCATAATACAGAGAAGTAGTTCTTAACTGGGTGTATTTCTGTCCCTCAGAGGACATTATACAATATCCAGAGATATTTTTGGTTGTCATAACCAGAATGATGCTACTATCATTTAATTGATAGAGACCAGAAATGCCACTATATATCCTCTACTCCAGAATACAGACCCTCACAACAAAGAAGTATCCAGTCCAGTACATCAAGGATATTGAACTTGGAGTAGATGAAAAGATGTTGGGTTGGACTTAGAGCATATAGATTCAAATGTGAGTCTTGTTATTCACTCTGACTCCTTTGGGGAAATACTTTACTCCCTGAATATTAATTTCCTCAACTCTAAAACAATGATAAAAGTCTCATGAGTTCATATAAGAATGAAATGAGCTAACTTACATGTGTGAAAATATCTAGTGCAATATCTGGCCAAGAATAGGCATTCATACTTACATAATTTCTAAGAGAAATTATTCATATCTAACTTTGTACAAAATCTTACACATCATTCAGACTTTTTATAAATACTTCAGTGAAAAACAGTTGCCTGTTTCTACAAGTTTTTCATAAATTAGGAGATGTAAACTAGTTTTCTCAACCTTTATTCACTTACTGATAACATTCTTAAATCATTGTTTTTTTAAAAAAGGCAGGTTTAGCTTGTTTTACTAAATTAAAATAAATAAAACCAAAGCAAGTATGAAAGGTGAAAGTATGTGCAGTCTTTCTGAGAGGACAGTGTCTGCTTTTACTTCCTGGTTTACTGCATCAATTAATCTGTTAAGGCCTTTCAAGCAAATAATACTTGACCTTCTCGCTTAATTTTGAGGAAATTAACTTATGCTCCAATAGGCTATAATTCTGAGTGACACCCAGATAGAAGAAAATATATTCAGAATGGTTAAGAGGGTGGATGAGATTTAATCTGCAGATCAGT